ACATACCATAAAATATTCTGGGAAGTAAAGGCGGCCAACAAGATAGTTACAACATGACCAATCGAGTCTAAAACACACTGAGCAATCATCATACGTCCAGTAGGCCTCAAGAATTCACAATGGTCCCTAATTTGAGTTGTTCGCTACTCAAATATTGGGAAGCAGCGGTTACACAATGATCCACACCTTTCTCTGCCATCCATGTTTTTAATGAACCATGGCTCCCGAGTCGGCCCAGCCTAAAATCTATGCAAAAGCAAAAGGCTTATTTCATTAGTCGGATAGGTGAGCTCACCAGGCATATTGCGCTACAGTAATCCCAGGTCAGTGCAGCATTGAGGGATATGAAACAGCACACTACTTGGCAAAAACTGGAAGTCACACAGAACAGCTAGCTGCAGAATGAAGTTATAAGAAATTTAAAACTAGATTAAGGCGGCCATTAGAATCCGTTGGGATACTCCTTATCTAAAACACAACCAAGAAGACATAGGCAATTGCCTTCACCAAAGAAACAGACCCTTATATCTTGACGACGTACTAGACACACTAGATTCTGTAGCCGTTTGTACAAGACATTCCACGTGGACAGGCGCCACAGAATACTGAACATGTGCTACAGGCATCTCAGGTTTGGCCGGTTGGCATTTCAGCAGAAATCAAGCTGTATGGAACAGAGGAAAATATGCTTTGTACCACAGACTTCACAGAGGTCCGTGACCTTCTCATCTGAAAACTTCTGGCAGGAAGAAGGAACAGAAAAAGACGAGATTGATCAGATAACTAGTCCAGCCCTGGGTGGTGGTCTCTTATATGGGTCTAGCATTGCACACCCATTACTAACAGTGCCTTAAATGGTAACCTTTATTGTTTACAACGTATTGACATTCATAGCACTTCTGTGTTTGACCCTTCTGTCCTATCACGCCACTGCTCACTTTGCCTCTTCCTTTCACACCAACAACTTTTCTATAGCACCGCGACTCACATGTTGTGACATCTGGTTGGTGGATGCTAGAAATGAGTCTATATTTTAAAGTGTTAGCTACAACTGCTCGAGGTATACCGTCAGATATTTTGTCATAGATCAAATGAATATAAGCTTTCTCTCTCCCTCCCCCCGCCATTTTTTTCTTTCCACCTTCCATTTTTTTTCTTGAACTGCAACCAAATATTTGACCAACCTTAGTTTTAAAGGAAAAAAAAAAATAATCTTACACCGGATGGTAAGCCAACTGAGTAAATGCAAGATACCCTGATCAGTCTTAAAAATATATATAATTTTGGCCCCAGTAACGGCCATACCAGCCTAGTGTAGCCTGCAGTTATTTGGGGGTAGACGCTTGAAGAAGAATATATATCCATTTTAAAAAGGCATCAAGATGTCTGTCAAACGATTTACTGTCCCGTAAAGCCCTTACTATCACAAGTTCTAATGATCTTTTTGTTCTTTTATGTGATGAGTCAAGGGGAGATCATCAGCGATCCTTCATCTTCCTTCCGCAGCTGCCTGAAAGTTTGACTGATTAAAGAATCTCTCTCTCTGGATGCCCAGTCATATTGGATAGATCCCAGATATCCATTTCAACTTCCAGTAGTAGTCAGTGAGTCAGTGTTTATAATTGGGGCCCTCGTTACGTTCAGTCTTGTGTAGGAAGGATGACAGATTATCAGCTCAGTGCACGAACCAGGTAGCACAACCCGTAATTCGAACTTGAGCTGTTTGTTAAGTGTGTACGAAATTTGTGGCCAATGCCCACTCGCTCAGAACTGTATAAATACAGGCTTACAAAGGTTTATTGATAACGTTTATTGACTCACTGTTCGTGTGATCTACGCTCACGTTTGAGGTCTCACTGCTGCAACCGTGTGGTGCAATGTTTACCCTGTTTATTAATATACATTGACCGAGTACATGCACGTACACACAAACCAACACATACCATACACCCAAAGCAACCAGAAAGCTCAACGAACAGGAACGGACATAGACACTATGAGAATGTTTCGACCATATCGTCATGAAGGAACAAAACAAAAACTACTTTTCTACATCGCCCACAAACACCGCAACCCTCAATAGGGAGAAACGGCGCCAACAACAGTCGGTGTATTTTCTTTCACTTTCTATTAGCTTTTTGAGTTCATTTATTCCTCCTATCAGTTCCACGAAAATTCACCCGATATTTCATATACCATGTAGATGTAGACACCTAATGCAAGGCCCTGACACACACAATAAACTCCCCACTGGTTAGGTAGTAAAGTAAAGTAAAAAGTAAAGATCCCTTTTTACGCCTTTCGGCGCATCGGGCATATGGGCAGAGCGTCCCATATTTTTACAGACCATCAGCACTCTGTGGGTAATGTGGTCAGCATTACGCCGTCTGTCTTTACTTTCCCAGGACAGCCCATCCTGCAGGAACACGAAGTGTGCAGCAGAGTGCAAGGTCTTGAAAAAATAAAACTGCTTTAATTTAAATTAATGAATTTTTTGGGGGGAAGTGGGGGGGGGGGGGGGGGAAGGGGGGGGGGGCTTCAATTCAAATGAAGGTTGGCCGCCGTTAATACAATTGCTGTTGTTCAAAATATGAAGTGGTCAGGTCATTTCTTTTACGTTACCACCCTCCATTGTCAGAAAACAAAAATGACCGTCTTTTTCTAAACTATCTGCTTTGAAAATCTAATCCCGGTACACAGGGGATTGTGGAACGTACTAACTCATTTCTACGCCTTATTGCCATAGTAAGACTGATCACACACCAATTATTACAATTCAGACTAAGCTACGGGATACCCACAGTGAATGACTGGGATTCACCGAAGGATGGAATGATTTTGTGGCTGCAAATGTTGAAAACCGTCCAAGTCCAAGTCCTTTTGAGAAAAAAATGAAAAGGTCGACCACTTTCAGACTGCTGCTAGCTAGCCGAGGCGACTAACAGTCTCCGCCTATAGTTGTGGTCTGGGTTATTTGTGTCACTTTCCTGACTAAATTCTAGCATTGCGCCATTTCTGGGCTTGATGCTTCCATCCGGTTCCGACCGCTCGTCCTGCACCCTGTTGTTAACTGTTCGTTTCTTATCTGGTGTCTCCTCTCAGTGTCATCTCTCTCTCTGATTTGGCCAGGCGTATCTCGTAGGAGAGCGAGCTTTTCCACACAACGTCCTTTGGACCACCATTTATAGTGTTGAAATTTTGAGTATTTTATTTTTGCTAAAAAGTACTGAAAACAGTTTTTGATTTTGGATAGTTCCGAAATGTGAAAATTTTCTGCGTGTGACCATAGTGGTCTTATAGTTATCTTCCTGTAATAAGAACGGTTAGTCATGTCATGTATATGTGTGTGAAAGGTTGTGTGGAGAATTAAGCGGGTCCAGTCGTCATTTGTTTGTGCGTGATTGGGTTGTGTCGGTTTGGGTTGACAGCTAAGCTCCGGTGTATGTAAATACCATATACCCGGAGCATCCAGCTCACGCTTTGAGATCCTAATGTTCGGCGATGAGAATTGCTGTGGCATGTTGGGTAACGAACTCAAGTGCTCTCTGTGGGAATGGGGTGGGGGGGGGTTTGAACTCATTGTGCATCCGAAAGAGGTAGGAAAGGGTGAGGTGAAGGGGGCGGAAGGCCAGTCAGTCATTTCTCGTAGTTGCCGTCTTGCTGGATTCTAGCGTGGCCTTTAGCCGGGACTATGTGTATCACGTTACCAACCTTTGCTATCATCCCAATGAGGGGGTGGTATTGGTGGTTACGTGTTCTAGTCCTGTCAGTATCGATTCATTGAAAACCGTTGGTTTAGATGACTTAAATATAACAAAGCCATACACCGGGAACTTACGTAAAGTTCTGGGACGCCATCTCATGTCAGTCAGTCGCTGAAACAAAGAACAAATTGGAGAGGGACTCGCACCCTTATAATTTCCTAGAGGATAAAGCCTTGTTTAAGTGTACAATGGTAATAATACAAATTATTATTAGGTGCTGAACCACAAATAAAAAAAAATATCTGAAATAATATGACAGGTATAAACTCTTATAAAGAGAGAGTCTACAGTTGGCGACATGACCCACTTAGCCCCTCCCCCCCCCAATTACCCCTGACAATTTCATAGGGAGAGGAGGCATTTGCACCCTAAATTTAACAGGGGCAGGGGAAAGGGGAGGGGGGTTGCTTTTGGCTATTGCCATTTCATTTTACAGACACATGACAAAATGTGTGCCATGTGGTGCATGCACTCTCTAGAGAACAATCATGCTGTTTTATCAGCTCTGCTTGGAGTTAGAGTCTATGATGATAACGTGTTGCTTCATTCTAACTAATTGGCCAAACATGTTCATTTCGTCTGCCCCTCAGTGTTTCTGAAGTAAGGTTTTGGTTGCACAATATACATTTTTGATAGCACCATTTCTCACTGGGACCCAGTTTGTTAAATTGGTGGCTTTCATAAAACATCTCATTACTCATTACACAAGTTCTCGTTTTGCATGCATTCGTTTAAAACAGTAGTGTTTAAGTGTGATACTGGTAGCATACTATTGATATGGATATCATCATTATCAGTTCTCGTTATGCCTAGTGGCACATGAGGCTTCAGAGAGGACTTTCTATGCTTTCCTGTCCCTGTGCAGTCTCCAGTGAAGTTTTTTATGTCAGAGATGCCGCACTCAGGTATCTTTCCATCGTTCGTCTCCATGTTGTTTTTGGGCGCCGCTTTTTTTCTCTGCCGATCTGGTATTTATGTAAGGGCTGTTTTGGCAGGTAAATCAGGATTCATTCTGATATAAGTATGGATATAACTACTGATAATCTATTGCTTTGGGGGACAAAGTTATGTGCCAGCGTCATTTAATGTGCTTCAAAATCATAATAAACACTGACAGATTTTTAATTATATTCATTGTCTCATTCCTCGTTTCACTTATCATTCATTAATACTTTCATCGAAGGCAGGTTAAAGCTAGAGTTATCCTCCCCAAGATCAAGCACGCAGCAGCAAAGGTCACATTTCCGTAGTGACCTCCTCCATGTGTATTATGGGCAGTAAGGGCAGCGGGAAAGCTGACAGGGTGCCCATACACGGGACAGTGTGCATTCGCTGCAGCCGTCGCTTCTCCCTGGCCACCATCGTCGTGGACATTTTCCTGCTGTAGTTTTTGTAAATGATGCTGTCCTGCGGCCGTTTGACAATCTTGATATTTTCTAGGTTCTGAAAAAAAAAAAAAAAGCGTTAACAATTCTAGTTATTGACCAGAATGATGTGACTGATCATGGGTGGTGGAATGTGTAAACGAGGCTCGCAGATCCTTACCAGCACTGGACTACAGGTCTCACACCAACTAGAAGTTCTTCAAACTAGGTGTTGTTGTAGAGATATGAGACGTGCACTTGAGACTAGAATGTGTTTGCTCCAAGAATTGCGAAGACCAATAAAATGGATGCGCGCATGTGTATGTATGTTTATGCGCATGCATGTGTTTTCTATTTGTGCATGTGTGTGTCTTCTTCTTTACTCCTAAATTGCCTCGCACTGTCAGATAGGGAAGAGATCTCCGGAAAGGGTCCTTCTGTTGGCTTCGTATGTATCGCTTTTCAGTGTCTGCTATTTTTGCGGCCAATTTTCTGCCTGGTCCACCTCTGGATGTGTTACCGTTGTATCTGTATGGCATTGCTCTCTGTGGTGCCCTGTCTGGTAATCTTGTAATCTTAGTTTCAGCTTCATAGCAAACGCGTCACCCCATAGTTGCTCCGCTCCTGTGCCAACGAAAAACCCATATTGTTTATAACAGTCCCTTGTGCAAAGATTGACAGACTGCGGTCTCAGCATATCTAGCATACACACGCATTAGAAGCACACGGTAGCCATCCTAAGTGCTAATACAAACAGTCTGACATTAGAAACGCAGTTCATCAAGGATGGTAGCATAGTTCATCAACAGATCTGCAGTTTCACACGAGATCAATTTTAATCGCATAATGGCACCACCAATATTGTGACAAATGTCTGATGCCAGTCTTGTTATATGGCCAAACTATTTGATCTGTTGTATACATATAGTTCAACACTGGTTCTGTGCCAACTCTCTTCCTGATATCATTGTTCCTAATGCGATCATTCATTGTTACACATAGTATAGTACGTGAACATTTCATTTTTATCGTGACTATTTTACATCTGTCTTCTGAAGATAGTGTCAATGTTTGAACTGATAGCAGAGTGCTAGTAAGAAATTTGTGTTGAACAGTGTTCTTTTAGTGTTCATTTTCACATGCTCGCTTCTCAAAATTAGCACCATTTGGCGTCAAAAATGATGTTCTTTATTGCACATTTTGTTGGATTTCTTCCTTAATTCTTCAATCTATCTTGAAAAAAAAAATGCTTCACAGATATGTAAAATCCTTCGCCTGCTTTAACTGGTGTACATCAATTTTGATATTGGTAGTTCTTTCTTTTCTGGAGAATGTCATCACTTCTGTTTTGTCTACGCTGATCTTCATATCATAGTTGTTGCATGACGAGTGTAGTCTGTTATTATGTTCTTGTAGTTGTACCGTTGTTGGTGCTATGATTGCCTGGTCATCAGCGAAAAGTAATTCATTTCGTACTTGTCCTCTTCGCTAGTGCTAGCTGATTTGCAAAATTGGTTGATGCAGA